TCCAAATGGTCAGTCCGCCCCTGGGGACCACTATTTATGGGATGTTGGAATTGGGTGTGGTGGAGTGAAATGTTTTCTTGCACTCTGTTTTGACTTTTTTTTTACCTTTTAAAATGATTCAATGAGGTACTGCCATAAAGCTCAAAAACTATGCCATCAAATTCTTGTGCCACTGTCCAATTTTAGCAAGTCATAGCTATAGCTGTCATTTTTTTTTAAAAGACACGTTCCTAAGATTTTTAGGTCCATTTTGGCTGCTACCACTGCTGGGCAAAAATCAGCAGTAGTTGCTACTGTATGTAAGTCAAGCTGTCTATGAAATATGTGCTGTTCTTTAACACTACATGCAACCTAAGTGAGGCCTGAAGCCTGTAATTTAAAGGATTTGTGTATTTTCAATGTCACATTTGAAGCTAAATGAAAAGACCCTCTCTGTATAGCATTTGTTTTATGTTGACATTGGTACATGTCACCCATGACAGTGCCCAGTTTCCAATAAATTGTTCATTACCTACAAATGGCCCAAATTGTATTACAAGATTCTCTACCTGCAGTCTTCAATGTCATTAACAGCAAAGTTAAGATTTTCTGAATTTTGAGCATGATTCACCTCTGCTTTATTGTCTGGGCTTATATGCAAATAACTTCCTTGACCCTTTGATTTTTATTTTATTAGTTATTTATTTCAGGTACTTATATAGTGCCATCAATTTACACAGCGCTTTACATATATATTGTACCTTCACATCAGTTCCTAACCCTCAAGGGGCGTACAATCTAAGGTCCCTAACTTACATTCATACATACTAGGGCCAATTTAGACAGGATCCAGTTAATCTACCATATATGTAAAGCGCTGCGTAAATTGACGGCGCTATATAAGTACAATGCTTTTTTTATTTTGTGTTGTACCTTTTATTTTTTATTGAACCATATTTTGTTACAGTTTTTTAGATTGACTGACCATTCATTTGCTATACTTATGTGGTAACTAACTGTATGACCATTATATTATATAGTGTGTATAGCATTGTAGGCGGAAAATCATTACATTTAGTAATGCTGTTTCAAGTGTTAAATATAGCTAGCTCTGTTCTTTATCTACCCCTGTTTAAAGAGCTTTTTGTTACTCTTTCCACTAGATGGCAATCTTTTACAATCAATTGTTGCGTTACTGAGTGAAAGGTAACAGCAATAGTAAAATTAAATTGTATAGTTTATATGTAGAAGTCACAATCTGAGTGCATAGATTAGGAATAAGAGGAATTTTTAAATCTCTATCAGCAAATTTTGAAGATTTTTTAAAATCTACTGTAATCTGAGCTTGTAGATTTGTTACGTTTGCACCTTGGCATTTAGGTTTCATGAATATCCTCATCTTCTGCAGATATGACAGATCTGTACATAAATAGTCAAGAAAATCCAAAAGTCTGTCGAAAAATGGAGAAATAAAAAAATAGTAATACTATTATTATTATATTATTCTCTTAGTAGAAGCATTCTTTGGCATTGCAGCATCTTTTCCTGTGGTTTTTTCACATGCAGGCTCTTGTTTTTGTGTATTGCCAAAAAGGCAAAACTTTTTCTGGAAATAGACTTGTGTGGATATATTTGTTTTGTTGTTCCAATGGTTGTATTGGACATACAATGTAACATACACAAAGGTTTTGGTAAAACATGCCGACTTTGCACAGTGGATGAACAAATTAAAAGTGGGGCACACAGCATGTACTTGTATTAGCCCAGCCAGTGTTGAGCGCACAGCAAAGAGGTAGAGGTCTGTTGTGGGCTGGGTAAAGATAGTATACCAGGTTTAATGACTCTTGCTTCCTTTTTCAATAGGGGAGGGAGGGCATAAGCAGAATTTAGGAGGGGGGTAACAAGAAGAGGTAAGTGGAAAGAATGTTAGGGTGAGAAGTTGGTAGGGGATGAAAAAGGTGAAAGGATCCAGAGAAGAAAGTAGAAAAGAGACTAAAACATAGGGGAAAACGGGACCACCTCTGTGACGTATATACCATTTAGCAGACTATGATGATGTATATCTGGTTGAGTTAATATATAAAAACCTCCTGCGCTAAAATGGAAAACTACCGAGAAGCCGCTATCACCTGACCTCACTTCACTAGGCAAATGCAATAATTAAAAGAAAATGGTGAAGCGCTAGCACTAAAGTGCAAAATACAAGAAATAATAACATATAAAAGAAAACATCAAATACATTTGTCACGTGGTAAATAAACAGTGCAGTGGACACTCAGTGTGCTGATCCAATCGGATCTCATAAAGTGCTATAAGTGAAACAGGTAAAACCTGTAACCATAAAGATGGCCCCTTTTTCCTGATGGGAAAAAAACACACTAAAGCCTCCCCCTGCCCACATAGGGGACTGATAATAAATGATTACGTGACCCCTCAGGGGGTAACAACACAATGTGACAAATGCCAGTAGTGAATGATACCAAACAGTACCATACACTATATATCATGCACATGCATAAACATTAATGTCCAGAAAGCGCTAAATGCCGACGCACAAGTGCATGTAATCAGTATAAATGTCCAAAACGCAGAGTAACTGCAAGCCAACAAACTGGTGCCCGTGATAAGGTGATCTTCTCAATAGGTGACAGGAATCCTAAATGGCAGAATTGCCCCCTCACCTCCAAGCAGTGGCCACAAGGGCGCCTTATAAATCTCACCACGATGCCAGAGAACAGGCCTAGTCCAGATAAAGATGTTGCATAAGATCCTCCCCAGTCATAACCTCAGGTCACATTCCCATCAGAGCCATGCCGTCAAAAACATAAGCAAAGAACATCCTCCATAGTGTAATATGTTTATTTGGATATCAAGAAGTAAATTAAAATTGCCCACTCACATGGGATGTATATCATAATAGCATTGCCACCACTTAGTATGGGTGTACTGCATGGATCTTCATACCAAGCCAAAGATGGTGTCCAACCGGAAGTGCGTCAACGAAACTGACGTACCGACGTGTTGCTTCATGATCACGTAACTTCCTCAGGGTATCGTACTTTAGTGCTAGCGCTTCACCATATCTGGTTGAGTGTAATCAAGCCTGGGGGTCCAGACATTTAGAAATTGTTCATGGGTGTCTTCAACCATAGCTTTAATTTTTTTTTTCACTTCTTCATTAAAGTGTATGTTACCCCAACATTTCATATTTTTAATATTTGTCTGTGTTGGCATGTACTTGTATGAAAAAGTGTTCTGTTCTCTGTGTATTGCTTCCTTTTTTTGTATTTTTGTGCTACTACATTAGTATAAATATTCAGTAGAGAGATACCAGTAGATGGCAGTGTTTATATGTTTGTGGCTGCATCTATGGTTAAACTCTATGTAATTTCTCTAATATAAAGTTTTTGTTTCCTGTTTGCAGTGGAACAGCAGAAAAACATATGTGGACTGTGCACTGTCTGTTCTGTACAGCTATATACAAAATCTCCAATGGGTTATGGGCCCAGACACCCAGGCATAGCATGCTACAGCAATGAAGTGCAAGATAGAGCAACAGAAAGAGGACTGTAACAGAATAAAAGAAAAGTGGCAAGTAACACAGCTGCAGCAAAGCTTTCATTTGCAAACCTGACAAATGAGAGCAACCAGTCTTAGAAATTTAAGATGAAAATGCTGCTAATAAGAGAAGGTACATAAAAATGTATATATGAAGTCAGGGCAGAACACCCTTAAGCTGAGAGGATAGAGAAAGATCAGAAAGTTCAGAGCACAATCTCTGTTAGCATAGAATATGATCAAATCATACATATGTAAGCGTGAATCTGCTAAATAATTGTGAGAAGAATTACAAAAGGTGCATGAAAGAGCTAATCTCAGCAATACAATTAATTTGATCAAAAAGCTATACCAAACCAAGCTGTTGAAAGGCCATAATATGCAGGATTACATAAGGCACACCCTGGAAATGGTTGAATGCCTGAGAAGTATAGGAAAATAAATAAGTAAATGTATAAAAAGCTTGTGGATGAAAATAAGCGTAAAACTGAAAGCACTAATAGTGATGGGGCTTCTGTCACAAAGTCTGCTTTAAAGGCATAAAACAGGAATAAAACACAGTAACATGAAACAAGAAACATGAATGCTTTGTGTGCAAGAAACAAGGCCATTTTAAAAACAGACTGCAGAATCTAGAAAGCTAGAATGCAAAACAAACTAAACTACAAAAGGCCAAAAATGTGAAAAAAAAAATGATTTTTCTTCAGATAATAAATATGTTTTCAATTCAAAAATTGCACCTCAGCTTTGCATGCATGGTGTGTTGATTCAGGAGCTACAAATCACATGAAAAATGACAGAAAATTCTTTATTCGCTTTGACTAAAGTAAAGCAGAAAAAAAATCATCACAGCTAATGAGCAAATTATGGAATCAGAAGGAATAAGAGATGGTTTTATTTACTGTCCTATTTCCCAGAGTGTCACCAGAAAGAAACCTGTGAAAATGTCCTGTTTGTCCCTGCTGTAAAAACTAATCTTTTGTCAGTAAGAAAACGAAAAAGAAAAAACAAGGCAATGTAAGTGACCTTCCAAGGTGACAGTTGTGACATCACAAAAGGGGATATCTTACTTGCAAAAGCTAAAATTACAGATGAAACTTCAGTGTGATTAAAATTTCATGAACTAACACAAACACTTCAAACTAAGGTAAATTTTACATCAGTATCACATAAAGATAAGCAACAAAGCAATAAGGAAATAGAAATTGACGCAGACAATCCAGATACTGAAAAGAAGAAACCAGACCACAAAAGGCTTCAATCAGGAATTGGCATCACAGCCAAACGTCTGTCCTATGTTGCTTGCGTAGCATTAAAACTAGAGATGAGCGAATTATTTCAAAAATTCGATTCGGCTGATTCGGCGAATTCGCGGAATAAATTCGATTCGAGTCGAATATATTCGCTGCGAATTTAACTTATAAAAAGGGTTGTTTCTGAGAAGTCAAGGCTTCAGAGAGCCTTTATATTAGTGCAGAACACTGTACCTTTAATTTAAATGCCCTTGGAGTCTGCTGGGGAAGAGAAATAATACTGTCAGTCAGTATGACATGCAGATGAGTGCCGTCGATCTTAGAATCACCGCACACTTCCACTCATTTGGGCAGTCACGGGGCCAAAACCAGAGTGTGGAGCCACAGTGTGGCGGTGGAGGCAGCAGCAATGGGAGGCCATACAGCACCCTATGACAAAATGGAACCCACCAGCAGTGTGAGGAGACCTGAAAGTGGCACATGGCAGAGTGTGGCGATGGAGACAGCAGCAATGGGAGGCCGTACAGGGACCCATGACACACTCTGGACCTGGCAGCAGCATGAGGAGGCGGTACAGGGGCCCATGACAGATTACGGGCCTGGCAGCAGCATGAGGAGTCGGTACGGGGGCCCATGGCAGAACAGATTACGGGCCTGGCAGCAGCAATGGGAGGCCATACAGCACCCTATGACAAAATGGAACCCACCAGCAGTGTGAGGAGACCTGAAAGTGGCACATGGCAAAGTGTGGCGATGGAGACAGCAGCAATGGGAGGCCGTACAGGGACCCATGACACACTCTGGACCTGGCAGCAGCATGAGGAGGCGGTACAGGGGCCCATGACAGATTACGGGCCTGGCAGCAGCATGAGGAGTCGGTACGGGGGGCCCATGGCAGATTACGGGCCTGGCAGCAGCAATGGGAGGCCATACAGCACCCTATGACAAAATGGAACCCACCAGCAGTGTGAGGAGACCTGAAAGTGGCACATGGCAGAGTGTGGCGATGGAGACATCAGCAATGGGAGGCCGTACAGGGACCCATGACACACTCGGACCCTGGCAGCAGCATGAGGAGGCGGTACAGGGGCCCATGACAGATTACGGGCCTGGCAGCAGCATGAGGAGTTGGTACGGGGGCCCATGGCAGATTACGGGCCTGGCAGCAGCAATGGGAGGCCCATACAGCACCCTATGACAAAATGGAACCCACCAGCAGTGTGAGGAGACCTGAAAGTGGCACATGGCAGAGTGTGGGCGATGGAGACAGCAGCAATGGGAGGCCGTACAGGGACCCATGACACACTCTGGACCTGGGCAGCAGCATGAGGAGGCGGTACAGGGGAACCCATGACAGATTACGGGCCTGGCAGCAGCATGAGGAGTCGGTACGGGGCCCATGGCAGATTACGGCCTGGCAGCAGCAATGGGAGGCCATACAGCACCCTATGACAAAATGGAACCCACCAGCAGTGTGAGGAGACCTGAAAGTGGCACATGGCAGAGTGTGGCGATGGAGACAGCAGCAATGGGAGGCCATACAGGGACCCATGACACACTCTGGACCTGGCAGCAGCATGAGGAGGCGGTACAGGGGCCCATGACAGATTACGGGCCTGGCAGCAGCATGAGGAGTCGGTACGGGGGCCCATGGCAGATTACGGGCCTGGCAGCAGCAATGGGAGGCCATACAGCACCCTATGACAAAATGGAACCCACCAGCAGTGTGAGGAGACCTGAAAGTGGCACGGGCAGAGTGTGGCGATGGAGACAGCAGCAATGGGAGGCCGTACAGGGACACCCATGACACACTCTGGACCTGGCAGCAGCATGAGGAGGCGGTACAGGGGCCCATGACAGATTACGGGCCTGGCAGCAGCATGAGGAGTCAGTACGGGGGCCCATGGCAGATTACGGGCCTGGCGAAGCAGCAGCAATGGGTGGCCGTACAGGGACCCATGACACACTCTGGACCTGGCAGCAGCATGAGGAGGGAACCCATGACAGATTACGGGCCTGGCAGCAGCATGATGGAGGTCGGTACGGGGGCCCATGGCAGATTACGGGCCTGGGCAGCAGCAATGGGAGGCCCGTAATCTGCCAGCACCCTATGACAAAATGGAACCCACCAGCAGTGTGAGGAGACCTGATAAGGGGAAAGTGGCACATGGCAGAGTGTGGCGATGGAGACAGCAGCAATGGGAGGCCGTACAGGGACCCATGACACACTCTGGACCTGGCAGCAGCAAGAGGAGCGGTACAGGGGCCCATGGCAGAGTGGCGAAGCGTAAGCAGCTTAAATTGAAGGCCATACAGAGGCCTATGTTAAAAATAATAACATTTTTGGGGCATGATTCATGGCGGATTTAGTCAGTTGTGTCAGGAACTGGTGGTTTGAAATCCAGACTAATCCACGCCTGATTCATTTTCACAAAACGTGAGTCTCTCCACCACTTTGGGTGGACAGTCGTGTCCTCCGCGGAGTTACAATACCTCCTGCCTGCGCACTAAACACGCGCTCCGATGCCACGCTACTGGCCGGGCATGACAGCCTTTCAAGGGCAAATTCAGCTAGTTGGGGCCAAAGGTCAAGTTTCGTTGCCCAGTAGTCAAGGGGATTGTCTACCTCGGTTGGCAGGGTGCTGTCCAAGTAGGCCCAAGCCTGTTGTTTGAGGTCCTGCTCCAGGTCCACCTGATGCTGCTGCTGCTGCGGCTGGTTAGTAGTTTCCTCACTGCGCTGGTGAAGAAAGCTACTCATCATCGACTGCAGACTGAGGCAGCCGCTGCTGGTGGAGCTGCCACTGCTCCTACCGACCCCACCCCTCCCCTGCTGCCATGGCAGCGGAACGCGAGCGCACAGGGCCCACAGTGTCTGAGGATGGACGTTGGCGCAGAAAGGCAGAGACCAAACTGACTACATAGGTGGTTTTTATAGTACGTTATTTTGGCCTCCCTCTCAGCAGGTGTGAAAAAGGCCACCATTTTTGAACGGTAGCGAGGATCCAACAAGGTGGACAGCCAAAAGTCATCCCTCTGTCTGATGGTTATTATTCGGCTGTCGCTACGCAAGCAACCGAGCATGCTATGGGCCATTTGTGCCAAGCAATGCGAGGGACTCCCTGCCTCCATCTCCACAGCATACTGCCACGGTGCGTCTGGGTCCTCTGTCTCCTCCTCCTCCTCTACCAGATGCTCCTGCTCCTCCACTCCTGTCCGCCTTGAGTGGAAAAACCACCCATTTCACTCAATAATTCCTGAGCACCCAATGTCCTCCTCTACCTCCTCCTCTCTTTCCTGTCCTGCCCCCACAGGGGTCATGTGGCGCGTTGAGATCTGTGCGCCACGTCTACCGCACCCTGACCAGCCATTGTTAACAGCATTTGTTCCAGGACGTGCAACAGAGGAATGACGTTGTTCATACCCCATAGTCCTGCCGACTCACGAATAGCGTGGCCTCCTCAAAGGGCCTGAGCAAGCGGCAGGTGTCACGCATGAGCTGCCAATGGCTGACATCTAAGTTACACAGGGGAGTACCTTTATCCGCTTGTAACATCAGGAAATCGGTGATGGCCTTTCGCTGTTCGTAAAGGCGGTCTAACATATGTAGGGTTGAATTCCACCTTGTTGCAACGTCACAGATCAGGCGATGCTGTGGAATTCTGTTCTGCCGCTGCAGCTCAAGGAGGGTGTGCTTTGCGGTTGTAGGAATGGCTGAAATGCATGCAAAGTTTACGTGACATTTTAAGGATGTCTTGCAGTGGGATGGTGGATTTTAGGAACCGCTTGACAACCAGATTGAACACGTGAGCCATGCATGGCGCATGGCACAACCTTCCTTGACGCAGAGCAGACACCATGTTCTTTCCGTTGTCGGTCAACATGGTTCCGATTTTCAGTTTGCGCGGGAGACAGTCCCATCTGTCGATTTCTCTGTTCATTACACTCAGAAGTTCCTCCCCTGTGTGACTACGTTCGCCAAGGCATACCAGGTGCAGCACAGCGTGACACCGTTGCGCCCTGCACATGTGATATGCCGGTTGGGTAATGGGACTTGGCACGGGGGTGGCGGCTGAGGACACGGCGGAAGAAGAGGTGGTAGAGGCGGACATCTTTGCTGGACCCAAGGACGTGCAAACGTGGGAGGCAAAAGCGGCGTGACCTGTCCAAGTTGCTGGTGCGGCTGTGCCGGCACCACGTTCACCCAGTGGGCCGTAAATGACATGTACTGTCCCTGACCGTAGTTTACAGCTCCACACGTCGGCGCTGCCGTGCACTTTGGCAGAGACCGACATGCTCAAAGACTGGCCCACCATCTCTTCTACATGTGAATGCAGGGCTGGCACTGCCTTTTTTGGCGAAGAAATGCCGGCTTGGCACTCTCCACCGCGGCGCGGCACAAGCCATCATTTCTCGAAAGGTGCTGAGTCCACCACTTGGAAAGGGAGGGACTGCAGCACCAGCAACTTGGACAGGAGGACGTTCAGCTTCTGCACCGTCGGGTGCGTGCTCGCAAACTGTTGTCTCTTGGAAACGGATTCCAAGAAAGACTGCTGACGGAATCCGTGAAGAGGAGTGGCAGGAGAAGGAGAATCTGAACGAGCGGAAGATGCCAACGAGCGACAACTCCCCTCAGCAGAGGTGTTGGAGCCTTGACTGGCTGATAGAGGGCGATTGACGTCGGGGTGACGGAGCAAGTAACGGAGCGGGTTGGGGAGCTGGGGCACAGGCAGAACCGCCGTATCTTTATCACGGTTTTCCCAGGCCACCGAATGGCGACGCTGAATATGCTGACGCAACGCTGTAGTCCCAACATGGGCCCCTGGCCACGCTTGACTTTCTGGCCACATAGTCGACATACGGCTACGTTTACTTCTCTCGGGCGGCGGCTTGACGAAAAATTGCCACACCGCCGAGTAGGAAACTTTGCCCCCCGCTACTCCTCACTGGCTGACTGCTACTTCCTCCGTGCACACCGGCACCACTACTGGCCGTGGTGGTAGGCTGCAGTGGAGCTGGTGCTCTACTCCGTGGCCGTTTGCCTCCACTGACACTGCTGCGACCCTGCTGCCTCCTGGGCAACCCACCGACTGTTTTGCTCGCTGCCAAGCTGGCACCCTCTTCTCCTGATGATGCGGAAGCAATAGCCTGATGACGACGAGGCTGCCAAGTGCGATCAGCCTCATCATCATCAATTAGGGTCTCCGCCTCACTACTAGCCCCCTCGGCTGCGTGTGGGTCAGGAGACAGACCTGTCTCTAGACCGGCTACCGAGCCACTCTCCTCGCCAGTACTTCTTCGCCTGGCTGCTGAAGAGGCGGATGTCTCCCCCCGTTCCTGACCGCCCTCTGTTAGCTCTTCCTCACTGTACAGTGGGGCTGAGCCCACAGCATGCGATACTTTGCTTGGTGAGGGAACACCAAAGGACAGGGGCAGGTAGAGGACACGTGATTTCAGTGGGCTTGCTCCCGGGCCATGCCAACTAAGGTTGTATCTGACGTACCCACCGACCGTTGGCTGTAGGTGTCAGAGGTGACCTGGGAAGAGGAAGACGACCGAGCCAACCAATCGATGACGGCAGGGTTGTCGGTGGAGACACGACCGCTGGATGACACCGGGAGCACTGGCCTCTGGCTGCGACTAGTGCTGCCTCGACCCCTTCCTCTGCTGCCACGTCTGCTCGCTCCTGAAACATTGCCTCCTCTGCCACTCCTCTGCGTGTTGTCTGACATACTCTTTAATTCAACAATTCTGTGTCCCTGAGTAACGATTCTGTGTCCCCTGAGTAACAATTCTGTGTCCCTGAGTAACAATTCTGTGTCCCCGAGTAACGATTCTGTGTCCCCGAGTAAAATTCTGTGTCCCTGAGTAACGATTCTGTGTCCCTGAGTAACGATTCTGTGTCCCTGAGTAACGATTCTGTGTCCCCTCAGTAACGATTTTGTGTCCCTGAGTAACGATTCTGTGTCCCTGAGTAACGATTCTGTGTCCCTGAGTAACGATTCTGTGTCCCTGAGTAACGATTCTGTGTCCCTGAGTAACGATTCTGTGTCCCTGAGTAACGATTCTGTTTGTCCCTGAGTAACAATTCTGTGTCCCTGAGTAACAATTCTGTGTCCCTGAGTAACGATTCTGTGTCCCTGAGTAACGATTCTGTGTCCCTGAGTAACAATTCTGTGTCCTGAGTAACAATTCTGTGTCCCTGAGTAACGATTCTGTCTGTCCCTGAGTAACGATTTGTGTCCCTGAGTAACAATTCTGTGTCCCTGAGTAACGATTCTGTGTCCCTGAGTAACAATTCTGTGTCCCTCAGTAACGATTCTGTGTCCCTGAGTAACGATTCTGTGTCCCTGAGTAACGATTCTGTGTCCCTGAGTAACGATTCTGTGTCCCTCAGTAACAATTCTGTGTCCCTCAGTAACCGATTCTGTGTCCCTCAGTAACGATTCTGTGTCCCTGAGTAACGATTCTGTGTCCCTGAGTAACGATTCTGTGTCCCCCTCAGTAACGATTCTGTGTCCCTGAGTAACGATTCTGTGTCCCTGAGTAACGATTCTGTGTCCCTGAGTAACGATTCTGTGTCCCTGAGTAACAATTCTGTGTCCCTGAGTAACGATTCTGTGTCCCTGAGTAACAATTCTGTGTCTGTCCCTGAGTAACGATTCTGTGTCCCTGAGTAACAATTCTGTGTCCCTGAGTAACAATTCTGTGTCCCTGAGTAACGATTCTGTGTCCCTAAGTAACGATTCTGTGGCCCTAAAGTCTCTGTGGCCCTAACTCTGTCCCTAATACACAGAGGTCTGTCTCTCTTGAATGACCGGAGGCTAATGGAGAATTCTAAGATGGCCGCGATTTATA